AAGGCCATGGATTTAAACAAGAATTTCTTATTTTCATGGATGAGAGCGATAGGGCTGGTTTTGTTCCTCTTAATGATAGGCAACTTTACTGGTTTTTAGTCAGCCAAGGCTAGCACTTAGCACTCTTCATCCCTTTAATTTCTCTCTCATTTTAGCAAGACACAAACATTGGTTCATGTGATCAGATCATTTCAGGGGAAGTTTCATACTGAACTAATTTTGCTTTCAGGGGAAAAGATGGCAGGAGATGCAGAGAAAATGCAAAGGGATGTGCTTGAGAAATGTACAGAAAAATTTCCCTCAGAGTACCTGGACGTGGTGCGGCATGCCGATCTTTCCTCATTATCATGGGCACCATTGATGTTAAGGCCTCCATGCGAGATCATATTTGGAAAACTAAGCAAAGGAAATATGACAGTAGCTGGTGATGCTATGCACCCAATGACTCCTGATCTAGGAAACGGTGGTGGTGCATCACTAGAAGATGCGGTGGTTTTGGGCAGACACATTGGCAATTCAATTATAAACAATGGAGGACTGATTGTTCCAGGAGACATGGCTAAAGCCATAGATGATTATGTGAAGGAAAGGAGGTGGCGTGTCGCCATGCTTGTCACAGCATCGTATTTATCAGGACGGATGCAGCAAGGAGATAGATGGTGGATAAAATTTATCAAGGACAGAGCACTTAACAAGTATTTTTTGGGCTGGCTTGCTAGACTGGTATTTGTTTATGACTGCTGAAGACTTCCTGCTATTTCCTCTGATGAAATGGATCTGTCCAGGAAGGAGGACTAAATCTCAGAGCTGACAAGTGATTCTGCAAATTGTTATCTTTAGAGCATTGCACTCAATTTCAACATAGTTAGCTTCTTGCTGCTGCTATCAAAATATCATAGTGATCGGGAAGGTAGCGTTAGTCTTATTAATTAGTCAAAGTAACCACAATTTTCTTTTTCTTCTTTGTTGGTTTTGTCTTTTTATATTTTAAAAGTCTTATTAATTAGTAAAAATAAGCATAATATCATATATGAAGTGTATGGTTCGCTTTCTTATCTAAGAAAATTGGGGTAATAAAAAGTACTTTTTTGCCTAAAGGAAAAGAAATTGAAAACTTAGAAAAATAACTAAATTATAGTTTTCAGATATAATCTAGAGATTGATGTGAATAAATGGGTTATTAAATATATCCATAGGTTACTAGGTCAATTATTTTATTACAATGACTTTTTTTTTTCATTTACAATACATTGAAAGGCTAATATTTTTTTTATTCAATTAAAAATTAATCGTGTCAAACTTTGAATTTTAAATTTTGAATTTTTCACATCAATTGATCCATAGAGTTGACTATGTTTAATAATTATATCCTTAGGAGATTAAAATATTTTAAAATGCTATATTTGTCACTAAATCATTTAGCCACCGCTAATTAGTTTTCATTTTTTTTTCTCATTATGAGAAAACAATTGATGGTTGTTCAAATTTCAATGAAAAAACTAGTAGATATTTTAGTTATCGAGTTTTATATGATAAAAAAAATTATATTATTATGTTTTAATTTTTTTTAATTTTATCAAAGATTTGAAGATATAATTTATATTATCCTCAAATACATTTTCTCAAGTGAAAGCTTTATAAATTTAAAATTTATATAAATTCATATTAGTTTATGCTTAAGTTTTATCAAATAAACATGGATAATGAAATTCAAACATATAACCACTTAGTTATAAAGGTTCTGATACTATATTGAAGAATCAATTCAATTCAATAACTTAAACTGTTAGATAAAATTTTAAAACATAATTTATATTATTCTCTAACCATTCAAACTATTTAAATTAAAAATTTAATCTCACTAATTTTGAACTCCAAATAACTATTTTGAAATAGTTTTGTTTAACAAACCAAACAATAAATTATAATATGTCTTGTTCAAGCTAAATAATTTTATATGACACAAATACATTCGAAACATATACTTTCAAATATTCATTAGTAATGGGAAAAAAAATAAGATATGTATATATAAATAAATTGAAAATTTTAAATTAAAAGTAGAATACATAAATATATAATCTGTAAAGAAGCAATACCAAAGTAGACATGGAGACCATACGTCATGAACACGGGCAACTCCTGGCATGTGCCCGTCTTACTTTTGGGCCTATGTTATTATTGATTCGATGGAAGCCACAATCTTTCTTCTTCTTCTTCTTTTTAAGTATTATTAATTTATATATTAAATTACTTTATGTATATTTTAATTAATTTATGAATCTCAATTAATTTTATGAATTTTAAAATTATTTTATATATATATTTTAATTAATTCATAAATCTCAATTAATTTTTTGAGTTTTGAAATTAATAATTATATAAATTTTTAGTAGTTTTTTAAAAAACTTAAACTCATGACTATTAAAAAATAAATTTTAATCCTGATTTATTAAACTATTTTTTTTTAGGTAAATTTGTTTTTTAATAACTATGTTATTATTGTTGATCCCCTAACCTTTGGACTCATGCACATGCAAAGAAAAAAATAATCATTCGACCATCCAGGTGATGCCATAAATCACACCTGTTCCAAGGTACTACGATGATTTTTTTCCTCACAAGATTTGTAAATTCATAAAATCCCCACATCTAAATTTATAAAATATTAATAATTAAATTAGTTATAAACTCTAACCCGCCTGAATATATCAATAAACACTTCTAGACACAACACTAAAGATCCCAGATACTACCCTTAAAAAAAATCTGACTCATGCGTTTAAACACTGAGGAATTAAGGCAGTATTTGTTAATACAGTTATGTTAGAAATTAATTTAATTTAATAATTTAAGTTATTATATAAAATTTTAAAATAGAATTTATATTATTTTTTAATATTTTTTAAGTGAAATATATTTAATTTTTATCAAAAAACCAACTTAATTCAATAATTTAAATTGTTATATAAGATTTTAAGATATGATTTATATTATTTTCTAACACATTAAAACTATGTTTTTTAAAATTTTAATTTTTTATTTTAATTTTTTTTCAAATTATTTTGACATGTTAATATTAAAAATAATTTAAAATAAATAAATAAAGTATTATTTTAATATATTTCTAGAAAACTACATTAAATTATAATTATTACTTATATTTCAATAGAGTACATGAGAAAAGATGTTGTTATGTTTTGTCTTCTTTCAATCATGCATGTTCACTTTTAATTAGGTGTCAAGCTCAGCTTAGGTAATAATCTTGGAAAATGCTTGGGTTGTTAGATTATTACCTCAATATATAAGTCATAAAAACATCTATTTTTATTAAAACAGTAGTTTTTTCTTACAAGATATTAGATTAATTAATTTGAATCTGGTTTAGTTGGGTTAATAGAGTAATTAAAATCTAATTAGATCGATGAATTTGATCATGTCATTATTTTATATCTAGTTCAATTTGAATTTGAACAAATAAAAAAATAATTAAATCAATATTTTTTTGATGCAATTAAAAATTTAGTTTAGGTTAAGTTTCATCTTATTTCTGAAATCAATCAATCATTTTGCCTAATTTTAATAATTATGATTTAATTTGATATCATATATTTGAAATTTTATTAAAAAAAAATATGAATTGATTGCTCATCTTTATGGCTCAAACAATTCTTTATCACGCGGTAGGGTTGTTATGTTTTGTTTTCTTTCAATCATGCATGTTTTGGAAAATACTTGGGTTGTTAAATTATTACATCAATATATAAGCCATAAATATTGAAAAATCTGACCGGTGATATATTGATATTTGCTCATAGAAAAAGAAGCACACTAAGACATGATATTTTACATGGTTCGGCAAACCACCTACATCCACGGGAGAAGCCATTGCATTATGTAGGGAGAGTACAAGATTTACAAAAATAAAAGAGGAGGAATCATCCTCTTTTTGACAACTCTCAACCTCACTCTATTTCTCTCTTTTAGTATTGCAATAACAACCCACTCTCTCCTACATTTCTTATATCTTTGACTCCTTTTCTTCTCTCATTTTGCTCTCTCACATATGCCTCTATTTATAGGTATTCATGGAGGCTTTTTTTTGTTTTGTTGTCAATATTGGTGGCTACCAATAATCAATGGTTGGTGTCATCCATTTGTTGCACATGAAATGACAACCAACCTAACAATAAAAATATTTATTTTTATTAAAATAGTAATTTTTTCTTACAAGATATTAGATTAATTAATTTGAGTTTGGTTTAGTTGGGTTAATAGAGTAATTAAAATCTAATTAGATCAATGAATTTGATCATGTCATTATTTTATATCTAGTTTAATTTGAATTTGACCAAATAAAAAATAATAATTAAATTAATATTTTTTTTTATGCAATTAAAAATTTAGTTTAGGTTAAGTTTCATCTTATTTCTGAAATCAATCAATCATGTTGCCTAAATTTAATAATTATAATTTAATTTGATATCATATATTTGAAATTCTATCAAAATAAAATATGAATTGATTGCTTATCTTTATGCCTCAAACAATTCTTTATCACGCGGTAGGGGTTACTCTAATTTGTATGTGCTGTGAATTCCACGACCACAAACAAAAATGCTTTTACTTTAATATAAGAGAGAGAGAGAGAGAGAGAGAGAGAGAGAGAGAGATGCTTAAACAAACGCTGTCGATTTCAAAACGATATAGAATCTTGCCATCGCAGGAGCACTTACAAGTTCACCTTGGGTATTAAGGTAGTGTTATATATTAAAATAATATTTTTTTTATTTTTAAAAAATTATTTTTGAGTTAAATATATAATCTGAAAATTAAAAAAATATTAATTTAAAATAAATACAAATTAAAAATATTTAAATTTTTTTAAAAATATTTTTAAAATGTAACAAGTTACTTTAGTTTCTAAAAATTTTAAAACATTGAATACAAATTTTAAAATAAAGAAAAGAATTAAAATCTTTAAAAAAATACTTTTAAAATATAAGGTATGTATGCAAGTGCGTCATGATCAGACTTGGAGTGCAAGCAGAAGGGGTTATAATAAGAACAAGATGAGGTACCCTGTAGAAGGAAACACTCATACACGCAGAGGGAGAGAGAGATGGAAATGATGGAGGATGTGGTGATAGTCGGAGCAGGAATTGCAGGGTTGGCAACTGCAGTGGCTTTGAAAAGAGTAGGGGTTCGAGCCCTTGTGTTAGAGAGATCAGAAGGGCTAAGAGCCACAGGTGCAGCCTTGACTCTATTTCCAAATGCTTGGCTTGCCCTTGATGCTCTTGGTGTTTCTCACAATCTCACCCCCATTTATGCTCCTTTATTGAAGTAATAAGTTGTTCCTCTACACTAACTCTATTCATTTGATCATGTCTGCCCATCGTTTCTTGAATTTGAATATTATATTTTGAATATTGTTCCATCGTTTCTTGAATTTGAATATTATATATCTTCTGGGTGATTGATTAGTTTCCTGTGCACTTCTTTTTTCCTCTTGTATGATTTAGGGGATATGTAACCAATGTTAGTACTGGAGATGTTCAACAAGTCCTCGTCCGAGTGGCCAATAACGGGTAAACTTTTTGAACCTTAATAAAATAATTTCTTGATTAACTTTTTAGTACAATTTCATGCAAGGATCTGTACTATGAATGGCTGTCGGAATCATAAAAGAATTTTTTAGTCGGTTCAATATTATAGTTATACTGATGTATAATGGACAGACCGGATTCCTTCATGTTTATGCCGACAAAACTTCACTCTCATCAACATTCGCTTCCTATGACGTAGTTCTGGGTGTGAATTAATGCCTTGTCTTGTGTGAAATAGGGGCGATGGACATGGAATTAGGACAATTCACCGCAAAGCACTGTTAGAGGCACTGGCAGAGGAATTGCCGGTTGACTCAATTCAATTCTCTTCCAAGCTAGCTGTCATTGAAAATGAAGAGCAAGGCGGTGCTTCCATTGTTGTTATACATTTGGAAGATGGAACTACAATCAAATCTAAGGTTCTGATAGGCTGTGATGGGGTGAACTCGGTGGTGGCACGTTGGCTAGGACTGGCAGAACCTGTCCATTCAGGGCGGTCAGCTGTGCGAGGTTTAGCAGTTTTTTCTCAAGGCCATGGATTTAAGCAAGAAGTTCATCAGTTTGTGGATGTGGGCAAAAGAGCTGGTTTTTTTCCTCTTAATGACAGAGAACTTTACTGGTTTTTAACCTGCAACGGTTAGCACTAAACCCTTCCTTCTTTCTCGTTTTAGCTGGACACAAATGATCGTTCATGCCAGATCATTGCAGGGAACGTTTATTCTGAACTAATTTTCAATTCAGGAGATAACATGACGGGAGATCCCGAACAAATACAGAAACAAGTACTTGAGAAATATGCAGAAAAGTTTCCTTCATCATTCCTAGACGTGGTCCGGCATGCTGATCTTTCAACGTTAACATGGGCACCGTTGAAGTTTAGGCAGCCATGGGGGATCATATTTGGAAAGCTAAGCAAAGGAAATGTGACAGTAGCTGGTGATGCTATGCACCCCATGACTCCTGACCTAGGACAAGGCGGTGGTTCATCACTAGAAGATGCTGTGGTATTGGGCAGACACATTGGCAATTCAGTTATAAACAATGGAGGGCTGATTGTTCCGGGAGACATGGCTAAAGCCATAGATGATTATGTGAAGGAAAGGAGGTGGCGTGCTGCTTTTCTTGTCACAGGATCATATTTAGCAGGGTGGGTGCAGCTCGGTGGAGATAAATGGTGGATGAAATTTTTAAGGGATGGAATATTTTACAAGTATCTTTTAGGCAGGATTTCTGGACTTGTGCATAAAGATTGTGGCAAACTTCCTGCTATGTCCTTCGGTGATATGGATCACTCAAGTAAGAAGGACTAGATTCAATTTTGGCATATAGATTCTGCAGATGAGTGGTTTCAGACAATGGCCCTCAATTACTAGTTAACGTGTCTTTTTTATATTATTTGATTACTGTCTTGAGACAAATAAAATAAAAACATGTCTTTCTATACTCTGTAATTTATAATTTATGTTCTGAAAAAATAAAAATTCAGTCAGGTACTGTTATGGAGTGTACTTCGTAGGCTTGATCATACTCTAACTCGAGTAGTGCAAATTTCAGTTTGGTGCCTATATTTTTTATTGACTCGATCAAAGCACTGATAAATTTACAACATGTATTTAGAACCATGTTATTGTTCTTTTCCTAGGCGATCCAAAGGCTCTTGCTTCATACAATGGAAGATGGCAAATTCATATTTTATAATCTCTCGAAAAAACTGAAATTACCAAGATTGAAACTTATTTTGCTCAAGGAAGCTTGTTAAATCTTCTTGTATCCCATGTTATTGATCTTCTCTTTGAATGGGAGATCCAAAGGCTCTTGAATTACACAAAGAAATAAGTAACAATTTCACATTTTCAAATATCTTGAGAAAATTGGAACCGCTAGTATTGAACCTTATTTCTTGAAAGAAGATTGTTATATTCATAGATATAAGACCCACTATGAAATCAACTCCATCCAAGATTTGAGTTTTTAGTCACCCAAGCTATGATTTTTTATAGGATAAAAGACCCAAAATATTATTTTCATAAAATAAAATCTAGTTCTGATCACCATTATGTTAACCCATAAAAAAAAAAAAATCATTAGGCCCTCTGGTTTTTTGGATTTTGAAATCACTGTTACAATGCATTATGATGATTCAGTTTTCCATTACAAGTACTCACTTATTTACAAGTCCATAAAATTTCAGATCAATTAATGAACAAAACAATCTGATATTTTAGATGCTATCCTCAATATACACGTTTCAACTTTTTTAAAATCCAAACACTGAAAATGTTGAGCAGTAACATCATAACCCAATTTTTGAAGGTCAAGTAGCTGAAAGGAAGAAACCTAGCATCATAGCATAATAACTGTATAGCTATGAAAGATCAATAGAAAAGCGAGGGAGGGAGAGTACATAAATTGTGTAATAAATCTTTAGAGCAAAACCAAAAAAGAAATGTCCAGTCCCTGAACTTTTTCAACCTAGGAGCATCAACAATCCCATTTCAGTATATAACTTAAAATCTCAATACAAGACATATTTGACCTGAGTGAATACAAAAGAAAAGAAGAAACAAGAAAAAAATTCTGTCAAAATATGTTTTTCATCTTCCCGATATTGATAAAGGGATCCCTCCAACTCTCACTTCAGTATCCTTTTCTTTCCCTAGAACTACTCAACGAACTCCATGTTCCTTAATGTTTAAAGGGAGCAAATACCTCCCCGACACCCCCAAAGAATGTAAGCTTTCATTATTTTTGAACGTGGGGTTCCATCCTCTGCACTTAAAACAATGGAAAGAAAGGATGGAGCGGAAGACAAAGGGATACAGATCTCACACTCAAGGGAACTTCTCCACACTCAAAACCTATCGATGAAATCTACAGTCAAGACTGCACAGCTAACCTCTGAAGATGCTCGAAGAAAACTTGAAGGCTCACATCATCCGTGAATATTATATCTGACCCAGCAGCCATCTCATTGGCATTATTGTATGTAGCTGACGGGTTCAGCTTTGCCAATAAGAACCTTGCCTGATAAGGTGACATGAGATAATGAGATCGAGCAAGTTTCTATCAAATAGTTAACCTTCCAGTTCACTAGTGCAACAGTGGACGCCCAATGTGGAATTAACATTTTTTTTTTTTTGTAAAAGGATCTTTTTGGGTCCCTAATTATAGAAATTGCTCTTAACTGACAGCTATTAATTGAACAATTGGAACAAGGGATCATTATCCAACTAATTTCAACAGCATAGCATAGGTAAAACACCAATCATGCTGCCCAGTTTTGTATCTAGAAGTCAGTCATGTATAGATCCCTAGTCCCTTATGAATTTAATACACTGCATATCAAGGTATTTTATTGTTTGTGGGCAAGGCCGCAAGGGTTTAATTTTTCAAGAAGAAGAGGAAGAGTGAGATAAGACTAACCTGGGATCCATGCTGATCACACACCACCAATCTAGGAACGGGAAAACGTTCATGAATGATCGCTTGGGCATCGTCTTTGGGTGCTTGCAATAGCTGTGCAAACACCTGCAGGAGGGAGAAAGCATTACATTTAAAAAGCAGGGTTAACAAAAAGAGGAACACGAGACACTCACAATACAGCACAGCACCTTCCACAGAGGTGGCTTTGGGGCACTGGTTAGGGAAAGAATAATTAAGACTAGAGTTTTAGTACTCAGTAATTCTGCTAGAAACCTAAGGGCATAAATAATTACAAGAACATTGTAGGACACAGTTTTCTGTACAAAAACTCCATAGGGAGTTGATGAAAACTATATGATAAGGACACAATGGGTAGTTGAAGCCTTATAAACATGCATGTGAGCGCACATGAGTGCTCTCCTGCATGAGTGCAAGTTTGCATGAATGACTTCAGTGTGCAAAACAAAAGCTAAGTTTTCCGGTTGTTTCCCTGGAAATGCCAATAAATTCCCCAAAATTGCACTTGCAAACTTTGTTATCATGCCTCATCTAGCCCTACTTGATGCCTCTTACACCTTCAGTTATTTTTGGTATGACAGGAAGGACCCCTTACCCACTATGTGGCACAAAATTCCCGAGTAGGAAAAGTTAAGGGTAACATTCAACCCCAAAAGTGTGGTTAAATGTTACCCTCTTAACGGTAGGGAGTAAAAAAATCATCAAGGGGTTTTTTTTTTTTTTTTGGTTTTTGTGCTTTCCCTCTCATTTTTCATTTATCATCTAATTTTTCTATATTTATCTTACACCTTGCATATGGGATCCATCAGTTTATATTTTTTTTATTTTTACAACAAGGTCTAATTCAAGAAGTGGTTTAATTTTTAATGGGACCACCTATTACTAATTATCTTTTAAACTTACACCAAACACATAACACTTCACCCCTTAACAAAATTTTACACCCATAACACTTTCATCCTTAAATCTTACTTAAAATGTCCACTCCAATTTTTTAACCTCATACCAGAAACAACTTTACTGTAAACAAAATGGTTATCAAATTCCTAATGATTTTTTTTTAGTTCAACAGTTACAGGACCTCCTTGCTAAGAGACACCAATTAAACAGAAGGTCCACTAATAAAATTCTAGCAATATTGAACTTGAATAATCCAATTAAATACAAAGTAATTTTTTTCAGTAAACTAATCATAATGGAAAAATTAAACATGATTAAGTCCATGCATTCCATCACCCATGCCCTCATCCTAGTTCTGCACATGATAAGCATAATGCCAAATAACAGAAATTTGCAGATCTACAATTGTATCAACAAGTAAAGCTATGGAGGGATTCATATCTTAGCATCTTCTATACATTTAGTTGGCATTATTTTTATGACATTCTTTCTAAAATGGGAGGTAGAGTCCTGTCGATAATTGACAGAAAAAGTTATCATCTGGAAGATCCTCGAGCAACGAAGCTCACATAAGCATTACTGGTGTGTTGCTCCTACGGAATCAAAATCCCACTAGTGCAAAGAGGTAATCCAAATGTCTTACATGTGGCTTGCAAGCCATTGTAGAATTAATAAACTTGGGGCTCTAAATCCATTTCAAATTTCAATCCCCGTGAAAGTGCCACAGCAAAATTCCATACCTGGTGCTCTGGCTGATTCTGGTAACCCAAGTTACGCCATTGAGCTATTGTCATTCCATGAAATATGACAACACTAAAGTATGAATCCAGTAAGAGAATCCGGTCAGCTCCAATAGAAGCAACATCCAATAACGCAGGTTGAGGCAGTGAGTTAAATGAATATGATATTAGTGATGGTTGAATCATGACAGCAGCATTGGTAATGTTTTCACGGTTCAACAACATGCGGAAATAAGCTGTCTCATCTGGGCTGTTATTGAAAACCTGATGCAGCCAAATAAGGGAACATATAATAACACTTAACATGCACACATGTTAAATCACTTCAATTTAGTGTAAAACAAAAAAGAAAGTGGGAATAGCAGATGACCTTCAATGTCAATTAGTTACCTGTATAAATTGTGATCTTCGCAGATTAAACATAAACTGAGGAAAGAAAGAGAAAAACGAGTTCAATGTAAAAGATGACGGATCATCCTTCCGGTATTCACCAAATTTGGAACAGAAGCGAATGAGATTTCGGTCTAGCCACCTAGTGGCATCAAATCCTTCCTGTGAGAGAAATCCCAGAGAGTCAGGAAAATATACAGAAGCTACACACAAACAATTAAATCAACGCTTGAGTTTCAATGGAATGAACAAATAAATGTCACTTCTATAAAGGTGACACAATTATCACCAAGGAAACTGTAAAAGAAAGATCATAAAAAAGATAGCATTCCAAGATAAACATCAGCTGAAACAAGAGCAAATAAATTTTGTAACAACGGCAATATTTGGAAAAAAATTTAAACACAAAATAAGTCTCTTCCTTACTTAAACAACAGATAATTATTTCAGTCAAACATGAAACAGTAACAAACTGACAAAACACAGGACCAACAACATTACAATTGCCAATCAGATATTTATTTTTAAGAAAAAGCAAAGTTTTGACATGATCAACACATGCAGCAAATGATGAAGTAGAGATACTTCAAAAGAAATAAATAATTAAAAAAACAATAAGCACCTCTGACTCCATTTTCAGGGATGTGAATCTCGCCATTACCACAGCTGCGGTCTCTTGGTCAAAACCTTGTACTAATTCCTGCAAGAGTGAAAATGTTCCTTCATATCAGCACTAATTCATCAGTTACAGTTTCAACAAATGCTTAGAAAATACACTAGACAAGTAGCACAAGACTAGTAATCCATAACGAGAATGGACAGGAAGAAGGAAGCTTAATCTTAATTTAACAGCAGAAACAAAGCATATGAGAGACCAGACAACATACATCTAAATATACAGGTTATTGATCCTGGGAAACATTTTACAAATACTAAACTAAAAGGACTACATAATTAAAGGCTGCTCCTGCATTAACAAGAGTCTTTGGGGATGTCTAACTAATGAACAGAACTGACAGAATGCATATCTTAAGCATGACAACAAAAGGGTACTGTTTTCATTTTGAACCGAGAAAACACCTTACACAACAAATATGCCATATATATTGGACATAACCAACCTCTGAGTTAACAGCACTATCTACCCATCTTCTAGTGACAGTTGTGACCCGAAGCAATGTCAAACCCTCAGGATTTTGATAACTGCATTAAAACAAAAATGTCCATTGGTATATGATTACTGAATGGATGTTGTCGAAAAAGAAAGTGGGTGCAGCATAAAGAATAAAAAAGAATTAAGACAGTATACTCATCAAACATCATACCTTGTAAGAAACTGTAAGTATAGCTGTGGATTTGCACTTCCAGGAGCATTTGATTTTTCACTTGATGAAATATCAAAGAAGACAGTAAAACAAGTACTCTTGTCAAGGCCACACATCTTCCAAGCTGTTGTATTCCCCTCACCAATGACTGTATCAGCAACACTTGGTCCTTTCTGCAAGGCTCTATAATTAGTACCAAATCCAATCTAGCTTTAATTTATGGAGAAAAGAGAGAAAAATCACATTTTATTCCCTAAAAAATAAGCCAAATCCAAAATAAATAAAGCAAACGAAAAGGAAATTTGCAGGCTGTTGATGGTTCAACCTTCTCCAAAGAGGTGCAAGGTCCAATAATCCCCTGAATTTTGATGTCCTTTGAACAGTTAATCTCGAGTGTTCCACTGCAAAGAAAGAAGCGAAATCATATCACAGCCTACCTATAGTCCATGAAATGAAAGGGTATAGAAGCAGTTTCAAGACAAAGGAAAAGAAAATTATGCATAGTATGCATCTATTGGCTCAGACCATGATCCAACATCAATTCCATAACAGTGAAAATTGCTTTTGTTTTGCAATGATGACTCACTTGAAACAGAGGCCAAGAGACTTTTCCCCTGAATCAAATACACGCTTAAAGGAGTCCTTAAATACAGAATGTCCGAAACTTTCTGAGAGAACAACAAGACCACCAGTTCTTTCTACTGCAACTTTCATTTCTGCAACCCCAACCTAAAACAGACAGCAATCACAGGTCAAATGATAAGCAAAACACTGCAATAGATGTGTTTTTAAAATGAATAAAATAAAAGAGAATGCTTAGATTCTTATTTGTCCCATCTAATAAAGTTTTGCTTTGTACTTAATGTAAGCAGAGATGGATTTCATTTGGAAACGACTGGAATGTCCAGGGGAAAAAACAAACTTTGTATCTTATCAACTGCCCTAAGAAGCATTCTCTTCCAGTAGGTATATCACTGCAAGTTAGCAGGCCCACTTTAAATTTAACGAGACAAGGATTGTAGATGTGCATATAAGGTTTTGAAGACAGAACAAGAAATACCTGATCTAGAGCAGAGGCAAAAAGGTCCAAAACATGACCCTGGCTGACAAGCTGCTTTGCAAGACTATCATAAAATTTGACTGCTTTCTTAAAATACGGTGCTGCATCCTTATCAAGATCCTTGTGGGAACGTACAGGATCAGACAGATCTTTTGATATAATCTGCAACACTACAAAATGATCAGCATCTTCATTATCACCAAGGAATGAAGAAACAGAAACTAGCAAATTTTTCATTCTGAAAAACAACTATTTGACTATATGTTTTTCTTGCTCTAATCTAGAACCAGAGACTGCTAATAACACAGAAAAGAAATGTAATGATGCCAAATAGAGGGCTAAGGAACCTGGAAGGCCATCTGATCTATGTATTTTAATGTTAGGAAACATGGTTTGCTAATCAATATGGAACAAAATCAATATGTGGTATGCCTGTTTGGTATCGCAGTGTGGCCGCGCTTTTCAAAAAATTTGAAATTTTTTTTGCTTGAATTTAATTTTTTTTTCTTGTATTTTTGGATCATTTTGATGTGCTGATGTCAAAATAATTTTTTTTGCAAAAAAAAGAAAAAAACATTATTTTGATACATTTTCAAGTGAAAAGGCACTTTGAGAAGAAACCACTACCACAATGCTAATAAACACTATATAAGCACACAAACCACTAACTGCTGGTCTGAACAGCATCCATAAGAGGTATTAGCTTTAGGCAGTAAAGTGTGATCCCATCAATAGTCATGAATACGGGAGGAAAGGTGGGTGGAGATGGAGGGAGGGAAAGATAGAGCTAATAAGTTTACAATTAAACCATGCTCTATGCCATGAAAATAAATATATCTTAGCTTGACTTTTGATCCAATGTTGAGTGAATCAAGGAACAAAGAAAATGTATTCTTCTAAGACAGTGCACAGTAGTTTTGATGTTAATAAAGGGCTCCTTTTCCCTCACGAAAAATGAAGCCTTATCTCAATGTAAAACCATATCACCAGCAAACAATGTGAAGCAATTAGGCAATGATTGGCGCACATTGATTTTCGATTAGCATACATTGATGGTATCTATGAATACATGGAAAGGAATCAACTCGAAGAAAATAACACAACATTGCAGGTGGAGCGTTATCATCAATACAAAATTACCTAACCAAAAACCTAAATCAAACTCAATTAAATAACAAAGAAAAGGAAAATCAAAAGACAACACACAAAAGTTGGCATTACCGCTCCTGGCCCTTCGGTGCAAGGACCACCAACTAAAGCTACAATTCTAGCTCCGGTCCCAGGCAAACAAGCTCCCAGCAGTCCAGCTGCAACACTCAATGCTACTCCAGTACATCTTGAAGGCCGATTTCCTGGTGCCACCGGCCACTGATCTGTTTGCAACTCATCCAAGAGCTAAAGACAACAACAACAACAACAAAAAAAAAAAAAAAATTCCTCAATCAAAAACACACAATCTACATCTCAAATCGAAACCAAACAGAAACAACAAAAGATCACAATTTTCCTCAATAAACAAGAAATAAAATTACCAATTTTATTTTCCTAAAACAACAAACAACCTAATACGGGACCGCTGGCCGTGCTCTTCAAAAAATATGAAGGAAAGAAAATTGCTTCAAATTAATTTTATTTTTTTGTTTATAAACCGTTTTAACACATCAAAAATAATTTTTTTTAAATAACAAATATATATCTTTCCATACATTTTCAAACAAAAAAACACTTATCACATGACAAACTCTACCTCCAGATCAAAACACACTATAATAACGTACCGAATTGAGCGTAAATTCACAGTCAGAAGCTGGCAACAAAAACCGGCTCACACCCGAATTCTGCATTGGCATCCCCCTCTGCTGCTGATACCCACCAACACCAACAGCACCACCAGGAACATTCCTCCTGCCAGCACCACCAATACCTAACTGCTCCATAATCTGATCTTTACTAATCTCTTTAGTCCCTCTAAAAACATATACTTTGGACATATCACTAAACCCCAATTCATGAACTTGCACTTGTGTCCCAAAAGTCACAAAACCCACCATTGCATTCTCCGGCAACAACCCAACTGCCCTCTTAACCTCCGATTTTACATACTCAAACTCCTCCTCGATCATACAAGTATCCAAAACAAACACAAACGCCGACTTAACATCAAATTCCCCAACTGGATTATGATTCTTGTCACCAATAGTATACTCTATTGTCGTATACTGGCTGTACAACTCAGCAGGAAGATTGGTCTCCGAGATCATGGAATAATTTGGAGGAAAATGGTTGCGTTGGAAGCAGAAAGGGCAGATCCAGATCTTGGCAGTGAAATCAACGCGCGAGAAGCAATTCATGATGGATGTGCAGGTTTTGCAACGGAGAGGAAGGTAAGGTAGAGTTGGGATTTCTGGGTTAGAACGAATAGGGGAGATTGATGCGGCTAAAGGGATGACGCATTTGGAAGCTTCGACTTTGGTTCTGGGCCAGTTGTTCCATGTCATCCGAACTGAATCAATGCCTTCTGGATCTGCGTTTGGGATTTCTGACATGGTGGATTCGATTTGAAGTGATTGAAATTATGGGGTTTGGGAGAATTTTGGGTTTTGATGATTTTGGGTGGCGACCCCGGCGGAGGAGGTGGAGGGCGTCACCGGGTAGAACGAGGAAGTTAACGTAGGTGGAGGAGAGGGAGGTTTTTGGAGAGAGGGAGGCTTGTTTGTTTTACGTTTTATTTTTGGAGGAAATTTATATTTAATTTTACAACAATAGGAGTAAGTAGATTGGACGGGATAGATTATTATTTATTACTTCATAATTCAAGAAAATACAAATTATTGTTTGGTGAAACTGCAGTTTTATAACCCGATTGATTTCAGACAAGGTACGAGTAGACGATGATCCAAGATTTAAAAAAAAAAATGATTTTATTTTTAAAAAAAAAAAAATTAATGGTTGATAACTAGTATTTGATTGAGTTACAGGTAAATTTTTGTTTTTAACCAAGTCAATTGAATTTAAAAAAAAAATAGATTCAAAATTTGATTCAAATCAGATCATACTTCAAATGTGAAATTCAAAAAGATTAAATAAAAAATGATATTCTAAATGATAAAATTTTAATGAAATATATAACTAAATAAAGATAAATTAAAAAACCAAAAAAATAATCAAAAAACTGAATAATAGAAAAAAACAGGCTAAATTGATTAAAATATTTAAAAATTTCATCGATTTAGTTCGTTTTTAGTTTGATAAATATAAAACTAAAAAATCAAACCAAAATTAATAATTAAGTCAAATCTAAAAAAAACTGATTCAAACTAAAATAAAACCCATTATAAATTATAAAAAAACCACAAAAAAATATAATTTTTAATTTTTAATATAAAATAATTAAACCAAAACAAAACTACATTAAAACTAATTTAATCGGTTATGTTTTAGTTTTCCTTCTAAAATAATTAAATGTAACCAATTTATTTGAATTGGTTTTAGTTTGATTTTTTATAAAAAAAAAATTGATTTTGTTATTTTTAAATAAAAATTGAATCAAAATAAAAATAATTACCTCTCAGCCCAATCAACATTTATTGAATTTAAAAAAGACTCGGAATAAATGGTTCGACTAGTCTAGTCCTTGAGTTTCAAAAAGATGGGTGTAACCAATGTTAAAATATCATCTAGTTAGTCAGGTTGTTTCAATATCTAATCTAACCAAGACTTGACTCGAGAAATTGATTCATTTGAAGCCGTGCAACTCAATTTTATATAATAATAATAATAATTTTAAAATAATATTATTTTAATTTTTTTCTTAAAAAATCATGAAATAACATTAATTTAATTTATTAAGGTGAATTTGCTCGATTTATAACTCCACTGTTTGGAGACCGAAGTTTAACAACTTTAGGTGTAGAGATCAACTAAGACTATTTTTTATAAATAATATTAATAATATATCTCTAACATGTGCACTGATTTATCAAATGAATTTGCTGTTAAGTTGTGTGGCTCAGCTCACACCAATGTACTACCAATGTACTATTTTTTAGAGAGTTTATGTGCGTTTAATATTGTAATGTATAATAATTTTTAAAAGTATTTTTTAATTAAAATAATAATAAAATAGTATTTTTTTTATTTTTTATATTAATATATTAAAATCATCTAAAAAACACTTAAAAATATTACTTTAATATTTTTTAAATTAAAAAATCATTTAAAGAATTATAACACAAAAATAAACTATTACTTAGTTTCATGAGAATATTTTGCCAAAAATATCTATTGTAGTCATTAAACATTATTTTCTACCCTCCTCATAATTTACGAGTGTCTTTGAAACACTCATTAATTCCAACAGGCGCATTCTCATGTTCTTTAAATTAACTATATCAATGCATCATAATACATACACATAATTTAACCTTCAGCTAATTGTAAATTTTTTGCAGTTACTAAATAACCTTTTCTATGAAACCTACAAGTGTTTCTAAAGCACTTACCGATTCCAACTAGCGCGCTGTCATGTCCTGTAAATTGACTATATTAATATGTCACAATACATGAAACTTAATTTCACCTTCATCTAATTGTAATTTTTTGTAGTCACTAAACAACCTCTTCAAACCTAATTGTGATTTGAAGCACTCAATGATTCCAATTGTTGTGCTGCCATATCCTCTGAATGGGCTACGTTAATATATCACAATACATGACACCTAATTTTACCTTACCTACTTATAACATTGTTAGTTGTAAATGGGTGTTCTATATTAAAAGGCACGCTAATGGTTTTGTTGATCAATTAAAGGCCAAACTAGTGGCCAAATGGTTCAATCAAAGACAAGGATTGGATTACAAAGAGATATTCAATCTTGTTGTAAAACTAGTAATTATTCATATTATCTTAATAATTGTTATTATACAAGATTGGTCTTTTTGGCAGTTAGACGTCAATAATGCCTTTTTTCATAGGCATTTCACTAAAAAGGTTTATATAAAGCAGTCATCTGGTTTCAAAAGCCTGAAAAAACCAAATCATGTTTGCTGTCTTTCAAAGGTAATATATGGTCTAAAACAAGCACCTCGTGCTTGGTATTCCGCTATCACATTGGCGCTATTAGAATTTGGTTTTATCAATTTTAAATCTGATTCTTCTCTCTTTGTGTTTTCTGATGGTTTAATCATTGCCCATTACCTAGTTTATATTGATGATTTGATCCTCATTAGAAACAATCTGATTTTTTTGCAAGCATTATTGCCCAGATTGGACATAAATTCTCCATCAAGGATTTGGGCCCTTACACTTTTTTCTTGGCATTGAGGTCATTAATACTGCAGATGCTTAGTTTTAAATCAGCATCAATATATCCAAGATTTACTTGCTAAAACAAGTATGGATGGAGCTAAGGATATCATAACTTTGCTCTTTGTCTCAGTTCCTTTAAAACTGGCAGATGGTTCCTCATTAGTTTATTTTGTAGAATATCAACGAGCGATTGACACATTATAATACCTGATCTTAACTCGTCTAGATATCAGCTTTGCAGTCAATAAACTCTCATAATTTATGCACAATCCCTCATAAATCCACTAAACAACCACTAAAAGATTGTTGCATTACTGAAAGAACACCATTTTTCATGGCATCAATATCAGGAAAACTTCAAACCCAGCACTCACATGCTTCTCGGATGTTGATTGAGCTGATAGCTTGGATGATAGAAAATCAACTTCAACTTATATTCTCTTCCTTAGTTTCATACCCATCTCATAGAGCAAAAAAAAAAAAGTAACGTGTCATTGCATGATCATTCATCAAAATTGAATATAAAACTTTAGCAACAGCTACAGTTGAGTTCATGTGGTTGTTCTCTCTACTTCACAAAATATAGTTTCCATTACTACACTCACCTACACTTTTATATGATAATTTAGGCGTAACATAGTTAAGCTTTAATCATGTCTAACATTTTAGAATAAAACACAATTAGATAAACATTCATTTTATACGAGATTTGGTTGAGAAAGCATTTTTTCATGTTCGACATGTTCATACTAATGATCAATCAGCTGATTTACTCACCATGTCACTTTCTAAATAAAGAATAGAATATTTATAAGACAATATTGACGTAGCTGATAATAATCTATTCTTGCAAAGGCGTATTAAAAAAACTAAAGAAATCACAAAAGTACCAACTCAAGTCTAGTTGTCACCATTAATATTATTACTAAATATTGTGTATTTCATGATTCTAGTATCCGTTTTCTATTTCTATTATGATATATATTTTTAAATGTCTAAATTTATGCTCTTCGATTATATAAAAATACAAAGTATGTGCTGAGATTATTGTGTGTTTTTATAATAAGAACAACTATAAGAATTCAAATCCTCTTTGCATATGTTTTAAGTATTCTAAAAAATAGAGAGGTGCCGGTATAATTTTTGGTTTGTTTTTTAAAAAATGAGGGCTTTGTTGTTTTTTTATTTATGGATTTGAGTTTTTATTATCATTTGCTTTGAAAGGAATGTTGGGTCATTTGGTTATTTAGTCCATTTTGATCAAGCTTATTTTTATGTTAAGTAGCCCAGCAACCTGTGGGGTTTGGGCTAAGCCTTTAGATAATTATAAGGCTGTGTTTGGCCTAATAAAACTTTGTTAAAGAAAGATGTATTTTGTATTTTTTTAGGTTATTAAAGTTTTTTTTTTTTTTTTGACACGCCCCAAACAAAATCTCAGGCATTGTCTTTCTGCCTTTTCAGTGTTTTTATCAAACATGGTCTTAGTTTCAGAATGAAGAAATGGACATTCGTTTTTGCTGTATGGTTTTTATTTCACTCCCTTTGGACCATGACCCAGATGGAGTGGTCCTTCATTTCACTCCGTTCCAGCACTCGCCCGTTTAGAATTGGCTTTTATTTCACTTCGTTTAGCCCTCAGCCCAAACAAATTGATTTTTTTTTAAAGAACAAGCACCGTCACAGTTATTTATTCCTTGTTTAATGTTTGGATTCCATCTTAAATCCTGATATCGGCTACCAATAAATATTGGTGCCAGCGTTCAAGATGAACCAAAATAAAAATAAATAAATAAAATCATCTCCGGTTCTCTGCCATGGCAACATCACCCACCCCACTGGTGTTCAAGGTGTCTCGGCGGGAACCAGTTCTGATCACCCCTTCTGAGCCAACCCCACATGAACTCAAACCTCTTTCAGACATAGATGACCAAGATGGTCTCAGAGTCCAAATTCCACTCATTCTTTTTTACACTTACGATCCTTCAATGCAAAGGAGGGATCCTGTTAAGGTCATTAAGGAAGCACTTGCTAAAACACTGGTGTTTTACTATCCATTTGCCGGTAGGCTTAGAGAAGGGCCTAAGCGTAAGCTCTTGGTGGAGTGTACAGGTGAGGGTATTTTGTTTATTGAGGCTGATGCCGATGTTACGCTTGAGCAGTTTGGTGATGCGCTCTATCCTCCAATTCCTTGCCTTGAGGAGCTCCTCTTTGACGTGCCTGGCTCCAGCGGGATGATAAACTGCCCTCTGCTTCTTGTTCAGGTTTGTCTCCTGTGTATGTTGCTTACTTAGGGATCATCGATTCTATCTTAGTTTACAAAGCAGGATCATCCTTCTCTGTTTTTTTTTTTTTTAACACAAAATTAGAGTTCAACTCATGAAACAACGCCAGCCAGCCAAATTTAACTGTGTTTCTCAAGCATGGACAAGTT